TTTGTTGCAAATTCAAGTCTCAAATTCAAGACATGTGCGCCAGGTCTTGGATTGAAAATGTAAGACCCGGTCTTACATTTGAATGAAAGACCTGATACCGGGTCTTACATTTTCAGTTCAGCTTTCAGAACCTGGTCTTTAGTCGGAAACCGGAACTGACCATGAACAACAGAAAATGGGTGTTGTAGGTTTATAACAATGCTCGTCAACTAGTTGGACTCTGTAGTCAGTTGGACCAGAGGACCTAGCAGCGTTTCAGATTTAGAACGGCGAATTTCGCCATAGCCGAAGAAACAAATAAACACGCGTTTTGATACTCGTTTTGTGCCAAACTAGAATATTATCCAGAATCCATGTTATTTCAATTTTATGGTGATAAAGAAATCGATGTTCTGAAGATTGAACCATTTGATTTCTTTCAATCTGATTTACATGATCAAGAGAAACTTCTTTGTGAATGGCAATCTTTCAAATTCGAACTAATAGAGCTTAGGAACAAATTGCTTCATTTCAAAGATCAGGTTATCGCAAATAAACTGTATACATTAACAAAATGGGTACTTTGTCAAGTTTTGGGTCAGTTCCAGGAAGAAGTTATTCACCTTGGGGCAATAGCAAAGACAGCTCTTGTTGCACCAGTCTCAAATGCATGGCCAGAACGTTTTCCAAAATACGAAAATAATTATTAGAATTTTTAAACGTGACTTTTAGTCACACAATGCCTTAAAAAACACCAGATTGATTCAGTTGCATGGTATTTTTTTATCTCTGAAATGTCAGGAAATGGTGTTTGCGAGGTCTAAAATTTCAAAATTTTCCGGGAGGCATGCCCTCGCATCCCCCTAGATTCATGGTCCTTCCATGGACCATGCTGGGCCTTTGCCCCAGATTCGCCATGTCAACGAATTCATTCTCCAGAGCCTTTCAATGAAACCTGAAACGCTGACCTAGTGTTGCATTTTTCGTAACTGTTCCTATATAAAATAGTTTTGTTTGTGGAAACACCACGTAAATTTATTACTGCAAAGCTTTCGATCCGTAAGCCCGGATCTTCATCAGTGCTAATGAAGATCAGGGGCCGGTTGTATAAAACTCTTAGGGCCTGTTCATATGATCCCGCTTACCGGGACGTCTCGCTTACCGAGACGAATATTTCCGTGCGTTCATATGGAGTATTTTGTCCCGCTTGCCGAGATGAAATTACATTGTAGTTCTATAATTAGCGTATGCAAAACTTCTACATTTCAGTCAAGCAACACAAATACTTGGCGATTTTAGTGTTTTTCTTCGTTTATTTTCAAGAAAAAGTATTGCTTCAGGTGGTTATTTAATACTTGTTTACAAAACAAACATAAAACCAAGTAAAAAGTGTTAAATTAAACCGGCAAGACTTGTTTCACTTCATCCCGGTAAGCGGGCTGGCGTGTTCATATGGCAAAATTTTCATCCCGCCTACCTATGATCTCGGCAAATTCAAACGAGATCTCGGCAAGCGGGCCAGCTCGCTTTCTCATATGAACACAATGCAAAATTTTATAGGAAAATAAATAGGCGGCGAGATCATCGGTAAGCGAGACGTCCCGGTAAGCGGGATCATATGAACAGGCCCTAAATCACTTTTTAACCACTATTTTGTAGTTAAATAGTGATTAACTCTCAAATAGGCGCTTCTTATTGGATGATGTTTCCACTAACTGTAGTTAACTTTAATCACTTTTTTATACAACCGGGCCCTGGGCTTACGGATCGAAAGCTTTGCAGCAATAAATTTACATGGTGTTTCCACAAACAAAACTATAATGTTTACTTACATGCTATCTTTGACTAAGTTAGATTTTTATTTCTATATTCATAACCCTTTTCTGGGAGCAAGTTTTTCAATACGAAACATACTTAATTTGTGCAATGTATAATTTCGACACAGGTGAATGAAAACGCAAATGCTGCTGCAAGAGATGTTTTTTCCAATGAAGAGCTAGATAAATTATCGAAGCTGGTTGGAGAAAAAGAGAAGGTTATATCAGAGCAAGCAGCAGAGATCCAAGAAATGCTGATGAAGATTGAAAGTTCATCTAAGCGAATAACAGAGTTGACAGCTGAAGTAGCAAAAGCAAATGAAGGGAAACAGAAAGTTGAATTTGAGTTTAGTGAAACTGCAGAGAAGTGTTCTGATTTGCAAAAGAAATGCACCGGCTTCTTCTACCAAGTTGAAAGTTTGTATTCAAAGCAACAAGAATCTGAGGAGGAGATCTCTACACTGAAACAGACGAATGAAGATATCTGTACGCAAGTTGCTAAGAAAGAAGCCTTGATGGTCACGATGAAAGAGTCAGTAAGTTTAGAAAATACAAAATTAAAGAATCAATTTAAAAGACCAAAAAATTCTAGCGAAAAACAAGGTATAACAGCTATTCTTGAAACAACCAAGCAATAAAAACCATTCCTCGATTTTCTGGGATTTTTAGTTCAAACGTGTCGATCCTACAGTAATACAAATGAGCTCAATGAATGCGTTTAGGTAATTTACTGTACATAAGAAGCCGGCGATGTTTGAAGTGTAGACCTCAAAATTAGACAGAAATATGCAGAGTTGACACTAGACGTATACAAGAAAAGTATCAATGTTTTAGTAAATTTCTTCTCTTTGCAGTTAAAGGTGTACGAGGATGACTCCCGACGTGAAAATGTGAAGAAAGATGCCATTCAGCAAATACTTTCACGTGTGAGACGTAAAACTCAATCACACATGGCAACAATACGTCATTTTGAAAGCGAAGTAAGAAACACTTTACTATGGTACAGCATAGAGATGATCAGTGGCGGCGCCAGGCCTCCGAATTTGGGGGGGGGGGGCATTTGAGGGGCAAACTCATATTTTGGGGGAGCAAGATTGAATTTTTAATAAGTTCCCCCCCCCCAGGAGATTCGCCCCCCCCCCCTCAAAAGGGGGGCGAATATCCTAGGAATATCGCCTCCCAGGGGGGTGGGGCAAATACCCTAAGAATATTGCCCCTCTTTAGGATATCCCCCCCCCCCATATATGCGATGTGGTTTATTCAAATAATTTTGTGATACTTTCATCTTATTAGTGCCTTACACGTTTGAGAATTTAACTAATGAGTAATGACAACTTATAAGCCATACATTTTCCGATAGCGACAAAACGCTTGTGTAGCCTTTAGTCGCTTTTAGTGACTAATATTTTTTTTTTGAGGGGGGGGGGCAAAATCGCAGGGGGGGGAAATAATTTGGGTGGGGGGGGGAGGCATTGCCGCCACTGGAGATGATCCGATTAATAGGAAAATAATTTGATTATTTTGAAATATCCGGTGGTCGTCCAATTACTGCATGACATTCGTAATGAAAATTTGAAATCTTAGTTCAACTTGCTGATAAGGATATCAAATTGAATGTGCCACTGAAGCACAATGGAATGTAGCCTATTAGTCGCTGGGCAACGGCAACTGTAAATTTTCCCATTGGTTTATCTCGGATGTTGGATTTTTTCAGCCACAAATCAATCTCGTACACAGGCCTTCTGCATGCGCTTGTTTAACATGGCTAATCTAACTTCTATACCGTAAGAGCTGAGGTGAAGCAAAGTTTTAGCAAATACGAGATTTATGCAAATGGTACACTATAACTTCTTTAAAAGAAGGCTATATGCTAATGTTTGGAGCGAAAATTGTACCATCTAAACATGCCCATATATTTCAATGTAACCCCAGCGACTTAATGCTCTTTAGTATAATTTCAGTATTGAAAAATGGCCTTCGAGCGTTCTGATTGGCTGCCTCAACAGTAACTCTGAGGCAATAGTTACTGCTCTTGTAGCAGTAACTATTGCTTTAAAAAAAAAGGCTGAAACTGGTGCTATTCTAGTTAGTTCGTCTGGAAAGTTTGTCTTGTGTTTCACACAAAGACAGATAATCCGTCAGACAGGCGAATAAACAATGAAACTTATTACTTAAAGTATTTTATTTCTTATTTTTCAGATAGAACGCATGAGCAAACTCGTAACTCATGATATCGAAAAGAAGGATACGAAGGTAAATAATTGTATGTAATTTTTATATATTAAAATAAAGATTCTCCCCAGGGAAGTTTAAATTGTTAGTTAAGAAAATTATTATTCGCGTTAACGGTTTAATTTGTTTAACAATGTTCTCATTGCAGGATCAAACTTCACAACCGTTTGTGGTGGTGGTGGCAGATAGTGGCGCCGATGTTAACGAATCTAGTACCAGCCGTCAAGCAAAATCTTCTCCAACCCTTATTGAATGTCCGTATTGTTCAAGAAGTTACCCTTATCATCTGATTGAAGGTCACGTGCAAGACTGTATGGAGGATAGCTTATACATGGACGATTGACTACGACCAACTGAGCCGGCTTCGCGAAATCCTTGTGATTATATTTACAGCAGGTTAGTTTCTGTGATATGTTTTTGTTTGTGTAAAAATGTTTGGTTCATCGTCACGTATGTATTGTGCAAGATTGTATGGAGGATATAGCTTCTATACATGGACGTTTGACTGCGACCGACTAAGCCGGCAGCAGGTTAGTTTTTGTAATATGTGATATGTCTTTGTTTGTGTAAAAATGTTTGTTTCATAGTCACGTTTGTATTGTGCAAGAATAGCTTATATACATGGACGCTAAAAGAAGATGCCAAGTAGCTTATACATACACGGCACACATGTGTAGAATTAATATTTAATGTTATTCATGATCGACTAAAATGATATCAGCATGGTAATCGACTTCTACATATATCAAACACTGCGTCTGTGTGATAGGATTATTTATGTCTATTCACTATAACAAACAACAGTTAGACTATAGCATTTAAAGCCCCGTTTACACTACACTCAATTTTTGGTACGGCATGACGATTAGCTTTTGTCACGGCGCGGATAAAAATAATTCCCATGGGGAACATGGTCGACATGGGCGGGGAGGGGCGGAGGGGAAAATTTCTTTCCGCCCCCCTAATTTTTTCCTTCCCGTACACCTATGCTTATTGACACTAGCTTTTCTCTTTGCCGTACCTTTTATAATTTGTGGCGAAATTCTTGGCGAGATGTTAATTCTACTGAATTTTCCCACTTTACGCTTTCGCAGCGAGTTTAGAACTGACTTCTAGAAACTCGATTACCACACTAATATCATTTTAGTCAATTCACTCGAAGAAAGGAGAAAGGATTTCGTGTGTACCATCATTCCGCACGTTTGGGCAGTAGGTGAAATGAGGTAGCACTAGTGAATTTTGAATTGTACATACATATGCATATAGTTTTACCACACTTAAAGGGATATGGCAATAAAAATTAACTTTTTCTTTTCTGAAAGAACTTTTAAAGTTATATATGAAGACCCTTTACAACTTTTTCGTACCTCGCTTGGTTTTCGAAATATTTTGACCAAAAACAGTATGCAGTCCGCCATCTTGGTAGTATAATTGACCTAATTAACTGAGTTTTTGATGACGTCAAAAGCAGGGTAAACTTGTTAAAACTTCTTCATGTGGGACTAAGTTTCTTCGAAAAGTTTCTTAAAATGTTGTGAGTTAATTGAGTACTAAAAAGACTTCGGAAAATCGAGTTTCATATTGATATTGACATGAGGTTTGCAATACAAAAATTTCGCTTTTACCCTACTTGTGACGTATGCATATCGAATACATATCCAAGATGGCGGAATGCACGCTGCTTTTGATCAAAATAAGTCGATTTATTTCGAAAGCCAAGCAAGATACGGAATAATTGTAAAGGAAGTTTATATATCGTTTTAAATGTTCTTTCAAATAAGACAAACTTAATTTATATTGCCATATCCCTTTAATAATAATCTCACCTACTCCCCAACCGTGTGGAATGATAGAAGTCTGTTTTCCACGAGGCGAATTTGTTTGCGCGAAGCAAATTTTTCTTCTGTCAACATCGCTTATCACGTCAGCAACAACGATGTTAACAGGAAAAAGTCGCTTCGCGTGAATAAATTCGCCTCGTGGAAAAGGGCTTAAAGCCCGTTTTCCACTAGGCGAAATAGTTCGCGCGAAGCGTCAGGTGAAAAAGTAGGAACATATTGAAATTTCTCTTCGCGCTAACAAATTTGCCTAGTGGAAAACGGGCATAAATACTATTGTAAAGCTCGCTGCGAATACTTCGCAGCGGGCTTGCGAACTGGTTATTGCGATGAGACCGTATAGTTAATAGAGTACATGGTTTGGAAACTCGATGGGATTACAGTACAACTCATTATTAACTATGTCGTCTAGGTTTATGAAAAAATCTGGTCCTTCGTCGTCATGTGCGCGTATTGTATTTTAGCCTAATCAACCAATAGCAATGTTTAAATTAACTCGTGGTTCAAGTCACGGATGGATAACTAAGCCAAAACAACATTATTGGTTGTTTGGACGAAAATACAATACGCGCCGGACGACGAAGGACCATATTTTTGCATAAATCTGGACAAAAACATAGATGAGTTGCATTGTACTTACATGGAGTTTCCAAACCATGTATTCTATTAACTATGGTGGAACAGAACCTTAAGGAGGCCCCCACAGCTTCAAATATATATCAGTGTTTTTAACTAAAAGCTCTTTAAAAGGTTTATAGGCTGAGAAAACTCTATTGCATAAGCCTTGTTTCTTCGTATATCAAAGAGTAATTTTAACACAATCGTTACTGTTGACGTTACCATGGCAACATGACGTCACCACTTATCTAGCCTATATCAGCCAAAAAAGCCATCATAGCGGGAAAATAATAACGGTGACCTACTTTTATTATTGCAGAAAGTACGTTATTATTACTTTCCGAAAACCGCTAGTGTTGTTTTCACAAAAACTACATTGGCGATTTTCAAAAAACTTGAATGTCATAATAGTTTTCTGCAATAAAAAGTCACCGTTCTTATTGTTTCGCTATGATCATGGCGCTTTTTTGGCTGATACAGGCGAGGTAAATGGTAACGTCATGTTGCCATAGTAACGTCAAGAGTAACGATGTGTGTTAAAATTACTCTTTGATATACGAGGAAACAAAGGCGTGTGCAAGAAAATGAGGTTTTTCAGCCTATAACCTTTAAAGAGCTTTTAGTTGAGAACACTGATATATATTAGAAACTGTAGGGAGCCTCCTTAAGGTGGATTTCCACTTATAGAGAAAACTTTCATCGTCGAAATATTTCGCTTGATTTCTTTCAATTTTGACCATGCGACTAATCGAGCGAAAAATTTCGACAACGAAATTTTTGTTGCAAGTGGAAATCCAGCTTTAAGTATAGAAATTATAAAAGAATAGAGTGGAAATCCAGCTTTAAGCATAGAAATTATAAAAGAATAGAGTGGGCATTTCAGGAAAGGTTCAGGGAAACGAAAGGGACAAATTGAAGCTTGCTAATGGGGGAAAATGTGAGTTATACTTGTTGATTTTGAGCTTTTAATCATTGCTTGAACCATGCTAAAACTCTGGAAAAAATAGATGTTTTCAAAGTTGTGTTATTTAGAATTTACATCCGGGCAACGAGATTTTAGCCAATCAGAGAGCGTTATTTGCCCCCATTAACAAGCTTTAATTTCTTTTATAATCTCTATGGCTTTTAGACCGTTTTCCACTTCAATCATACCGAGGCGTAACGTATTTCTTTATTTGATTGGATACAAAAGAAAATGCCACGACACGTTACGGTTGAAGTGGAAAACGGCCCGTGGAAAAGTAGCAAACGCATTACGTAGGGCGTCTGGCGAACGCCTACGTTTCGACCGCATACATATTTTTGGTGGCTCCCTACTGTTTTTTGCGGCTGGAAAATTTTCAGTTTGGTGCGGAATTTTTGAACAGTTGTTACTTGTTGGAAAAACAATAGTATAAAATTTTTACCACAAATGGCGTCATTGCTATGGTAGCCAAGTAAAAAATCGGCCATGTTGAAACGTCATTGACTAATTTAACTCGAAAAAAACAACGTGCATGACCACCATTTTTTGTTTTGATTTTATTTCGACTAGTGAAAATAATTATTTAGTGATCTTTTATCGCCAGATTTTTTCAAATTAAATATTTTTATCAATTAGTTTTATTATAATTAGATAAAAAAATTCTACACTGGTGATTTTTTTAAAAGTTGGCTAAATAATTACTTTCACTAATTGAAAACGTTTAGCAAAATAAAAAAAGGGGGTCGCCGTTGTTATTTTCGAGTTAAATTGGTTTAAAACCAAAAAATCGGCCATATTGAAACGTCATGGTTACCAGAACTTTTGTACTCTTCAGGTAGGATTTTCTATAATATTTGCTTTTCAACAAGTATAACAAATGTCCAAAAATGGTAAATTTTCCAGCAACCTTTGGGGTAAAAAACTGTATATACGGGCCATCCAGAATGAAGGAACACCAAATGTTTTCCGTGCAGGATATAGCGGATAATCCGTGCAAGCAGGTGGGATGTTGCGAGACTTGTTCGAAAGTCGAGCAACATCTCAAGTGCATGAATGACGCTATCTTGCACGGAAAACCATTTGGTAAAGGTACATTTACACGCTGCGATTAATCGGGCCGATTGCAGGTTTTGCTGAATGTTAATGACAGAATGTTGTCATTTGACAATGTCGTCAGATAACGTTATTGACAGCCTATATTTCAAATATCATTTAATTAAAGCTGAATCGGCCCGGTTAATCGCAGCGTGTAAACGTACCTTAATTGTTTTATAAAATAACTACAGTGAAACAATGCGGGTTAACTTTATCAACGTTAACTTTATTTAAACGGTTAACTTTGTTAATTCTATTAGAACTTAACGTTTTGGTAACTCTCAACCTTTTAAATTGTATGTCAGTTCACTGTAGTTATTATATAAAATCTACAATCTTTGACAATATATATTGGGACAACCTAGTTTTCACATGCATTCAGATGTATTATACCATTTCTTGATACATTTTTTAAACCTTCCCTCTACCTGTTTCAATGTTGGCGTTTCCTAACCAGACATCAGATTTTTGTCGGCCCAACATTGAACTGGGGGAACAGGGGATCGTGTGAAATTACAATACCTGTCCCATAGTTTTTGCCAACGATTGTAGTATATCCCACATTTTAGGCCGTTTGCCGTGACCCGATATCGTTCACTTTCATTAAGCATGTCGTGGAACTGAAATATTTTCACGGTAACTAACATTTTAGAACACGCTGAATTCAAATCCGAAAAGTTGCCGCTCCGTAGACCCGCAGT